GGGGGTGGGGGGTTGCACACTCACCATTTATACAGAATAAAGTCCCCTTGGACCAAGGATTCTCCAGACCAAATTAGTTAAAATCCACTAAGCTGTACAGGGCAAACCAATCTACTGGTATTATAATCGATCGTTATAAATCATGAGCCCATCACTAGTATTGATACTCCAATTTGACATATATTACCTGAGTTACAGGTAGGCTCCTCAACAAACTACAGTCATATAACTTCTCCAATCAAATAACCTCCTGGATATCAACATTTTTGAAAGGTCGACAACAGACAGTAACGGTGAACGGTGTAGACTCCGAATGGACTAAGGTAACATCTGGAATCCCACAAGGTTCTGTGCTAAGACCACTGATGTTCGTGATATTTGTAAATGACCTCCCAGGAGTAGTTCAATCCGATATGTACTTATTTGCGGACGACACTAAAATATTTAAAATAATACAAAAAGAAGGGGACAGTGTCGAGCTTCAGAAAGACCTTGATGTAATGTGTAAGTGGAGTGACACGTGGCTCAAAATGCACCCAGACAAGTGTAAGCATATGCGAAAAGGCAAGGAAAGAAGCAGAGGGAAAAACAAACCAGAACCAATCTACCACCTAGATGGCAAAATGTTAGAGACATCCGACCAGGAAAAAGATATCGGTGTAATTATAGACTCCAACCTATCATTTGATGAACACATTTCCGAAAAAGTTAAAAAAGCTAACTCTATGTTCGCACTTATTAGGAGAACATTTCAGTTAATGGACACAATGTCTTTTATTCCTTTATATAAATGTCTTGTGTGGGCACCACATCTTCAAAAACATATCGACAAGATCGAGGCAGTCCAGCGAAGAGCGACAAAGTGCCTTCCGGGGATGAGAGACCTCACCTACAGTCAGAGACTTGAGAAACTTAAACTACCAACGTTGGCCTTCAGGAGATGTAGGGGAGATATGATAGAACTGTACAAAATTATAAACGAAATATATGATACAGAATGTTGTAATGCAATCACACTTTGGAAAGATGCCGCTGATCGTCACAGTAACAGAGGACATAGCAAAAAAGTATATCCTAAGCGTGCAACAATGATGCTTAGGAAAAACTTTTTTTCAATAAGAACAGTGACAATATGGGATGATCTGCCTGAAAATGTTGTCTCCGCACCAAATGTAAATGTATTTAAAAACAGGCTAGATACCCACTGGAAACATCAAGAACTTTTCTTTAAGTACAAATCAATAATCAAACCATAGACATTAACATGTACCGAATAGAAATATATATATTTATGTATTGTGTAATATAAGAGTCTGGTATAGAAGACTTTCACTAGTCCTGAACCGGAAATAAACTTAACTTAACTTAACTTAACTTACAGCAATATCTATAGTTATACTTAACAAACCAAACTACACCTTTCTTCGCCACTGTCCCGAGTAATTGTTTTTTCATTTCTCCTCTCATAGTAAATAGTAATTCTCTCCGCTTCTTGTTCCAGGAGTTTCATTTGTTTTATGAGATCATTCAGGAATTCATCAGCATCCAGGTGACCTTCAACTCGCAACGCAAGGTCAACAGCGTACGCTTGAAGAACAGCACCCTGTATGGCCTGGTAGTGGGAATGGGTGATTTTGGTAATATCTTCTGCCAGGTCCTAACCATCAACAACAGAAGCAAAAAGTAAATTAATTTAGTCAAATGAACTTGATGACACACTTAGTTCATAAAGTTTTAACTTCTTAATTCACACAAATATTCAATTGATATCCAACAACTTTAAAAGTCTGTTGAAATCCATTTTGAATTATTCAACGGCTGATTTTCTGACCAGGTTTTATCATTAAAAAGTTTTCTTCAATTTTGATTAATATTTATTAATATATCAATTTTTGAAAATGTTCTCTTCATTTCAAGTTCAAAGTTACAGCTACATATAACACAAATTACAAAAGTATTTACAATACCAAACAAAAAACTTGGCTCAGTTTAAAATCGACCAAGCAAATGTTGAAGAGCTGATTTCACTGATCTAGGTTGGTTACGTGAACTTATATGGAGTATTTAAGATCTGATTCCTTAAAGTTCAGACACTTTAGTTTTAAGCTAAAACTGGTGTACATCACAACTGCTGCTAATGTTACATTCCCCTTAATATCACATAATTCCTCATTTAGCTTGGACACCACTTAATATCACATAATTCCTCATTTAGCTTGGACCCCCCTTAATATCACATAATTCCTCATTTAGCTTGGACACCACTTAATATCACATAATTCCTCATTTAGCTTTGACACAGGACAGGGAGAGGAACATGCTGTAATAGGAACTTGCTATTTACATCTATTTACCCGTAGTCTATGAAAGTCGTTGTCTTTATATCCGAACAGACCAGCAGGAGCTATTCTCATGGCTCCTCCGTTGCCATAGGAACCTTCCCCCTCAAATTGTTTCTTAGCTGGTTCAAATGGATTCTCATATTCAGTTTCTTGTAGTTTCTGAAAAACTACTGTCACCGACCCACCATATCCACGGAAGCGCTCATTGAAATATTCCTCTGTAAATCTGAAATTGAAATACAGGATAAAAAGTTATAAGTAATGTACCCCTGTTATGGCATGATTTTTCACCCAGACATGATTTTTCACCCGTGTGAGATATTGTGCTAAAATTGCTGCGTTGGCAACAAGTGTTCTCACCTCTGCATGATTTCTCGCCTGAGAGAGAAATCGTGCAAAACATATGGGCATATATAGGTGACACGTTTTCTCATCCGGCACGATTTCTCACCCCACATATACTGTCTATCTCAATTGGGGTATTGTTCGACTGATTTCATCCTTTGTATCTTAAAACTTGCCTAACTGTACATGTAATAGATGAACTAACACACTATCAAATACTCCATTAACCAACCTATATTTCATTCCATAAAATAGAACAGAAATTATTATAGCCCTAAATGTCTCATCAAATGAGAGGCCATGATTTAGATCTGTTTGGAAAACTTAATATTGAATATCATTATTGTCTGCTTGTTTGTGCAGTAGTTTCTCCAGTATTATTCTCCAAATGTTTAAAGAAATATATTATTTCTGTATCTAGCCTGCATTAAGTTACCTGCGAGCCATGTCCCTGGCATTGAATCCCTTGTGTTCAATCAGAGACCTGGCAACACTTCGCGCCATCGCTGTATCATCTGTAAATGTCCATATTTCTCCGTTGGAAATTTCCCCATCAGCATTCTCATTGGCCTTTTTTCTCTTTTCTGCTGCTACAGACGATAGATACATGTCAGCATGTATTGTCTTCCAATTTATTAGTTTACCCAATTTATCAATTTATTCAATGTATAGTTACTTTATCAATTTATCATGATTTGCCATAAGTTCCATAACTAATAATAAATGTGAATAACAAGAGTTACAAAACAAAAAGTCCATATTGAAGGAAAATCAATTAAATATTTCCTTTCAGTTAAAATACTAAGACTAACATATAGTGTAAGTATTGCAAGGCGATCCGTAATCCCCCACCAGTATAGTCCGAATTATTCTGACGTTTTTTTCATATCGGTCTGTCGTCGATTAACGACGTTAATCGATGACAGACCGATATGAAAAAAGTTGATAAAACGTCAGAATAATTCGGACTACCACCAGTAATGATTTCGTTATTTACCCAGCTGTACACCTATCTGTCAGGATCAACCTACAGTAAAGAAAGTATCCTGCTGCATAACAGAGCTAATTTTTCTAATGACTGTCATTAGAGGTCAACATATTTCTGGTACAGTGAATTTTGTCATCTCAGGATATATCTTCATACTAAATTTCGGTACTCCGAAAGAATTGCACAGATGATCAGCTTTGGATAAACTTTTTTGATGTCTGAGGTCAGAGGTCAAAGCAAAAATATCCCAGTGACCTACTTTCCATAAACTGCACATGTACTCCACCATCAGATGATATACCTGTATACTGAATTTTGATAATCCTGATAAAATAGTGTAGGAGATATGCCCAAGGCAAATTTTTTTGTAAGGGTAAGGTCAAAGAAAAACAATTCCTCACCAAACTTAAACAGTCAAACTCCAAGATGGCTGCCTGGCCGCCAGCTTGTTTTTCTCATCAGTCTCAAAATTAAACATGCACAACTAAGGACTATGGGGAACCTACGTATGAATTTTGAGAAAGAGTCTTAAAAAATGTTAAGGATGGCAGATTGTAGCCAAGGTTTCTTCTGGTCCTGTCACCAGACTTCGACAATTTGACAGATGTCTGTAGCTGCAATAACGTAGCTTTCTGACAACGAGATATATTAATACCCAGCCGGGGCAGAGGAGGCCGGGTATTAATATTAGTACTAAAATATCTGGTGGGGGTAGACATCTACCTGTCCAAGTTGATGATGTCCAAGTCTGGTGTCAGGGCCAGATGAAACTCAAGCTAGGCTGATGATGATGGATGGACCAGGGACAAAGGGTGATGTGAACATGATTTGGTCTGAAAATTCCATGCAAACCATATTATATATCCTAATTAAGATACTTCATCTATTCCATCTTTGCATATAACAGAGTTATCTTCTCTTGTGAGCAGGTATTGATTGCTACGTCATTGGTTTGTGCGAGAAAATTACGTTGTTTTCTCAAAAATTGATGACGTTACACTCACAAACAAATGACGTAACAATCATATCTCCTCACAAGAGCAGATAACTCTGCAATACGCAAAGACGGAATATACAGTCCATTATTCATTTTTGTAGATTTTGAGATTGGGAAATTTTTAAGAGATTTTGATCACAAAAGACACCATCTAAAATAGACTGAGTTTCCTCTGTTCCTGACACCAGACTTAGACATTTTGACAGATAGATGTCTGGTGTGCACTGTGGGCAGATATCCATATGTCAAAATGTTTAAGTCTGGTGTCAGGGCCAGAGGAAACTTGGCATTTTGACAGATAGATGTCTGGTGTGCACTGTGGGCAGATATCTATATGTCAAAATGTTTAAGTCTGGTGTCAGGGCCAGAGGAAACTTGGGATACAATTGTTCTTTCACAAAATGTTGACATAAAAAAAAAATGAAATTATAAATTAAGAAAAAGAAAAAAAAACATCTTACTGTACTTTTTGCAATCAACAATACCATAAAACCGACAGTACAATATATAAAAAGATGACTCAATCTTTTAGACCACATTTAACATCCAATAACTCTTTGCTTGAAAAAGGAAACAGACGTTTTCGAAAGCTCACAAAAACAATTTTCAATTACTGTACGTGTTAAAAACAATCTTAGCGTTTATGATCTGCCATATGTTTTTAGACATAAAACCCCTGTAGTCGAGTATTGAAATAAATAGGCCTAAGTAAAATATATATTCTTGGTTCCTCTCACAATTTCAGGTATAAAAATGACATTTTATATTGAAATATTCATTAAATAGTTTCAAGAAATCCAAATTAATTTAGTAATCCCGTTCAGACAGTAACGTTACAACTGTAAATTATTCTATTTTCGTTTTAGCTGTAGGAAGCATGTATTTAGCTGCTCTACAACAGGTTATATACCTTCACGGATCTTTTTGTCTTCGTGGATAATTCTAACCATCGCGATGGAGTCTGCCCATTTCGACTCAAATTTATCCCCAACACAGTCTCCAATCACCGCGCCTGCAAGACAACCACGGAACCGCGACAGTAGGCTACAAGCCTGGGCCATTGTTTCATAAAAAATTAAAGAAGGGAGACAACTCTTCTATTACTATCCACTTACCGTATTCAACCTGATAATAAGTGCACCGGGATGCTAAATATAATGAAAAATGAAACGAATCTAAGGGGAAAGTTAGGCCCATTTTTATTAGCTCACCTGGTCGAAGGACCATGATGAGCTTATGCAATACCGCAGCATCCGTCTGTCAACTTTTCCTTTAAAACGCTACTAGTCCTGAACGGCCAAGTAGATTTTGACTAAATTTGGTCTGGATCATCCTTAAGCCAAGGGGACTCAATTGTGATTAAACTGTGGATGTGACCCCCCTGGGGGCAGAGGGGCGCGCCCAATAGGGGAAATAGAGGTACATGTAAACCCTTAAAATCCTTCTTCTACTGTAGGGATTAAGGGGTTTTATCCTAATTTAGTCTGGAACATATAATATTGGGCCAAGGGGACTCAATTTTGTATAAACGATGGGTGTCCCCCCTCCCGGGGGGCAGAGGGGCGGGGCCCAAAAGGGGAAATAGAGCTAAAACCTTTAAAATCCTCCTACTGTCATAGGAGTTAAGGGATTTTATCCTTATTTAGTCTGGAGCATCCTTGAGCCATTAAGGGGACTCAATTTTGAATAAATGGTGGATGTGGCCCCCCTGGGGGCAGAGGAACGGGGCCCAATAGGGAAATAGAGGTTAAACCTTTAAAATCCTTCTTCTACTGTAGTGATTTAGTGATTTTATCCTTTTTTAGTCTGGAGCATCCTTGGGCATAGGGGACTCAATTTTGTAAAAAACAGTAGTTGTGGTCCCCCTGGGGGCAGAGGGACGGGCCCAATAGGGAAAGTGGAGGTAAACCTTTAAAATCCTTCTTCTACCATAGACATTAAGGGATCTCATCCCAATTTGGTCTGGAGCATTCTTGGGCAAAAGGAACTCAATTTTATATTAACAGTGAGTTTGGCCCCCTGGGGGCAGAGGGGTGGGGCCCCATAGGGGAAACCTGGCAAATTCTTCAAAATCCTTCTTCTTCTGTAGGAATGACAGTATTTTGTCCAAATTTGGTATGATGCACCCTTGGGTGAAGGGGAGCAAATTTTAATTTGTATATAAACGGTGGATCTGAGCCCCCAGGGGACAGAGAGGCGGGACCCAATAAGGAATATAGAGGAAAAGCTTTAACATCCTTCTTCTTCCATTGGGTTGAAGGTATTTTGACCAAATTTGAACAGTAGCATTCTATGGGGAAAGGAAATCAATTTTGTATAAATGGTGGGTTTGAACTCCCTGAGAGCAAAGGGGCGGGGCCAAATAGGGAAAATAGAAAAATAGCTTTGAAATTCTTCTTCTTCTGTAGGAATGACAGGATTATGTCCATATTTGGTTAAAATCATCCTTGGATGAAGGTAACCTGATTTTGTATCAACGGTGGGTCTGATCCCCCTGGGGGCAAACTGGCAGGGCCCAATAGGGGAAACATATCAAATTCTTCAAAATCCTCCTTTTCCTGTAGGAATGACAGGATTTTGTCCAATTGCATAAAAATATAACCCCTGACTAAACATGTAATATGTGTACACTACAAGCAACATCTTGCTATTTCAACTTCAATTTAGCTAACCTTTCCTGGTGAGCAATACAGGCCCTCTGGGCCTCTTCTTAAAGCATGGGATTTATCCCTATGTATATACAGTCTGGGATAAGTTTGGCCCACGTTGGATTCATCACTAGACCGATATGAAGATGCAACAGCTGTGTGTGTAGCATTATTAAGCTGTTAATGAGAAGTCAAGGTGGTGAAGAAGCAACTAGTTTATAAAAGAGCAAGGATCAGGTAAATCAAGTAAACATATTTTTTGCCAATGTCACGACTATCCATGCGTTGCCTGGGCTGAATGCCCAGGGGAGGGGGCAATGCCCAAAATTGATACTTGAATTGCTCCATAAATTACAGAAGTACAAGGTCAGCACTAGGCTTATTGGTTTGCATGTATACCATTAGACTGTCAGTGTGTTAGATTCATGACATATTAAATAAGCATCAATACGGTTTACCAAAAATTCCAAAACCTAGACAGAAGTGTGGTCCTAAAACTTTTAACTTTCTCCTATTAAGTGATTTTATAATTGGGTTTTCCATACCATTTGTAAATGTCCGTCCAATCAAGTAATATCGCATTCATTTCGATCAGTATATCTCTTTTTAAAGTGATACCAAAGGCTTTGATTGTATCCTCTACTCTTAGCGCAGTTAATTAAGTTTGATTTGTTTAAAAAAGTCTACTTATTTCTGCCTTATATCTGTGTGTTGAACAATTGTACTACATCTTAAAAGATCCATTGACAGGTTTATCACGCAGTGTGACTCTGTATGCCTACATGTAATGTACTGATCTGCTCTGTACATGTACATAAACAGTTAATTATTTGTAAATTACACATCAGTACAGAAATATTGAGCACTTCTTACAGCCACTGTATGAATCCACCGGCTCATAAATTGTATAATACCTTAACAACCTCTCAGTGAGTGAGCAAGTAAGTGAGTGATTTCATCTCGATGACTTCAAGGTACACATTTGAAATTGCACTGTACTATACATTTTCATATAAAATTTGCATTCATTTGTTTCTATTTTATATCATTTTCTCTCTTCTAACTATTTATTTTTAATCTTTTATCTTTTTTTTAATTGATCACATTGCATGTTTGACCCATGTCTATCTTTAAAGAAACGAAAGAATAGTGTCAGTGCTAACAGTGGTGCAAATTAACTTAATGGCAGCTGTGACAGCTATAGCGACAATAGCCATGAACCGCAGGACATCAGTGCCATTTTGAAGGAAGCCAATAAGGTATTACATGAACATGAAGCTAACTATGCAGAGAGGATTTCAGAGAAGCTCGGTACCTCTACACCAGCGGCCTCGGACAAGGCGACATGGATCAAAACCTCAGTGCTGTACGCCTCAAGCTTGACTTCCTAATAACCAAGATGAAAACAATTTGATGCTATAAAGGGCATTTATGAGAACCTTCGTGAAATAGTGTCCGAGATATGCCCCGGGAACCAATTAGCATAAAAGGACAGATGCATGCAAGCATGAACTAAGCAAATCCTATATATCCTCAAAGCAGGAATATGTAGTATTTTTATCATAAAAATGACCCCCTAATGTCTCAAACCATCAGACAGGCTGATGCAATCGAAAACAAAGATCACTGAATTCGAGCAGGCATTCTATGTATTTGAGGTCAAGGGTCAAATTGAGGCGACAGTGACCTCCTTTTAGAACATCGCACACTGTCTACCAATGATGTACCTACATGTATTTACAAAGTTTGATGCACATTTGTGGAACAGTGGCTGAGATATGCTTTGGAAGCCAGTTAACAAGGACGGACAGATGCAGGCAAGCATGAACTAAGCAAATACTATATACTGATCATATTTCTATCATTAAAACAAGAAGTCCATTGGACCTGTATTGCTCACCTGGTTTTATATTTAAGTCATTACAACTGAATGCATTAGTACATCTTTATATGAAATTTCCTCAAAACCAGACAAGATCTATGTTATATGTTCTAACCCAACTGGGACCACAATATCTGTTTTTCAACTAATCAGAGGCCTCCATTGAGTTGCCATGTTAACAGATTTTGAAATAAGTAATATGTCATACTACAGGGTATATCTAGACAATACTTTAATTTTCATTCAACTATAAGCTTTTATAAACCTAGAAACCAATTTCTAACAATTTATGAAAACTACACCATAGAATATGATAATCTAGCTGTACCATTTCTTAGGACCGCAGGGGTCAAATCAACCTCATACAAGAAATGTTTGTTCTTCCTCAATAATGTCTTTAACCAAATTTTGTACAATCCACTCAGGCAATTAGGGGGTATAAGCGTCTTAAAGCAAAATATTAGATAATTTTCCTCGTTGGGACCCGGTCTTCCTAGCCCAAGGGGTCTAACCAGTCCCATTTATTTAGGAAATGATTGCCCTCCCCCAATGAAGTTTCAGAGCAAATTTGGTTGAAATCTTCTCTGGCATTTAGGAGGAGATGCGTTTTAAAGCAAATTAAGCTAAGTTCCCCTTCAGGGCCCCGCCCCCCTGGCCTCAGGGGTGGAACCAACCTCATTTATTTCAAAAAATGATTGCCCTCCCCTAGTGATGCTTCAGACTGAATTTGGTTGAAATCCTCTCTGGCGTTTAGGAGGGATGCGTTTTAAAGCAAATTTAGCTAAGTTCCCCTTCAGGGCCCCGCCCCCCCTAGCCTCAGTGGTCGAACCAACCTCATTTATTTAAGAATGATTGCCCATCACTACTGATGCTTCAGACTTCATTTGGTTGAAGTCCTCTCTGGTGTTTAGGAGATGCGTTGTAAAGCAAATTTAGCTTAGTTCCCCTTTAGGGCTCTGGCCTCAGGGGTCGAACCAATCTCATTTATTTAAGAAATGATTGTCCTTTCCTACTGATGCATCGGACTAAATTTGGTTGAAATCCTCTCTGGCGATTAGCAGGAGATGCGTTCTATAGCAAATTTAACTAAGTTCCTCTTCAGGGCCCCGCCCCCCTGACCTCAGGGGTGGAACAAACCTCATTTATTTAAGGAATTATTGCCCTCCCCTAGTGATACTTCAGACTAAATTTGGTTGAAATCCTCACTGGCATTAAGTAGGAGATGCATTTTAAAGCGAATTTAGGTAAGTTCTCCTTAAGGGCCCCGCCCCCCTGGCCCCAGGGGTCTAAACCAACCTCATTTATTTAAGAAATGATTGCCCTCCCCTAGTGATGCTTCAGACAAAATTTGGTTGAAATCCTCTTTGGCGTTTAGGAGGAGATAGGTTTTAAAGAAAACGTTGACAACGGACGCTGCGCCACGGTATAAGCTCACTGTGGTCCTTCAGACCAGGTGAGCTAATAAGCCACAGTCACTAATGGAACAAGTAGCCCAGTGAAGTAGGTTCCAGTTGAAAATACACTAGTATGTTTTTAGGAGTACATGTATTAAGATATGAAATAACTAACAGGACAGATACCTATATGAAGGTTCCACTGTTATTTCTTTCTTTTTAAAGTACCTTTCATAATGTTTGTGCCATTTCATGAGGGGCGACATCACCTTGTTGCATTTTATACTGACACCATGTTGGTTTTAGCTCTCATTTATGCAACAACACTTTCCCATGGTGCTATAGAGTTTTTAAAATCACCTATTGACATGTACAAGGATGATGTTCTACCTTACATTTCATACGTTTCAATTGAATTTGACTTATCCCCTTTAGTTTTCAATAAGTAAACAATAGGCCTACTGTGCCTGCATTGCTCACCTGGTATTAATCTCACACTTGTAACCTTAAAAGTGGACTAAAATACAGCTACAGGCAAAATATCAGTATCTAAGACCCGATCATTCAAAAGAATCTGTTAAAAGATTTTAACACATTGGACCCCTATGACCTTGAAAGTCGAACAAGGTTATTAGTTGGTTGAACAAACCTTATAGCCTTTCACCTTAGAATGCAACTTGCCAAATATCACCACCCTAGACCTTTTGTTTATTGACACGAGGTCATTTAAAGATTTATACACATTTGACGGTATGTGACCATGAAAGTGGGCCAAGGTTAACGTTGTCCACATAAACAAATGATAGCTCTTCATCGGAGCATGCTACTGACAATATATCACTGCCCCATGCATTTTGGTTATTCCGAAGAATTGTTTTCAACACATTTGACCCCTGTGACCTTGAATATGAGTGAAGGTAATCAGGACAAACCTTGTAGCTTTTTATCTTGGCATGTTTCTGGCAACATATCATCATCTTAGGCCTTTTGATTATTCACAAGAAGTTGTCTAAAGCACAAGTGGCCCAGAGGTCCTGTACCGATCATCATATTTAAGCAATTTCGGGAAAATGTTCTCAATAAAAATAATTTTGCATATATTTCCATATATTTAGTCTCCTTGGCTTAAGAACGTTACAGACTAAATGAAACTTTATACTGTATCCCAGCATGCTACTTAGTCAAATAACATCACATAGAGCCTTCTGGTATGCAGAAGTTGTTTAAAGGGATTTACATATTTGATTCCATTGACCTTGGAAATAGGTCAAGGTCATATATTTGGGGAAACTTATTAGCACTTCATGCAAGGTACCTACATGCTAACTATCCAGAGGATGTTTAAAGGTTTTTATATATTTGATGCCTGTGACTCTGAAAGTCAAGGTCATTTATTTGAGGTAAGTTTATATCATTCCATCTCAAGATACCTACTGGCCAAGTGTCATCACCATTGGTGTGTATAGGCTTAGTTATTTAGAAGAAGTCATTCAAAGTTTATAACATATTTGACCCCTGTGACCTTTAACATATGTAAAGGTCATCCAGTTGAGAAATTTCATAGCACTACATCCCAGGAACATATATATTTGCCAAATATCATAACCCTGAGCCTCCTGGTTATTCTGGATTGGCAGTGTGTTAGCAATGTGTGCACATTTCAATTCATGAAATATCAGGGGGTTTTAACATGATTTTTTTTGGAAAGGAGAAGCAGGTCTCAAAATGTAGCACACATTCTTAATTCTCCATGTCACAGTAAGGTAGCATACATCCTTAACTCTCAATGTCACAGTAAGGTAGCATACATCCTTAATCTTCCATGTCATAGTAAGGTAGCATGCATCCGTAAGTCTCAATGTTACAGTAAGGTAGTACACATTCTTAATCATCCATGTCACAGTAACATAGCATACATCCTTAAGTCTCAACGTCGCAGTAAGGCAACATCTATCCTTAAGTTTCATTTTCACAGTAAGGTAGCATACATCAGTGGAATGAAGCATGAACATTTGGGTGGCAAAATATAACAACACCAGAAAGAGAAATGATTCAAACAAAAAGACTGGCTGATTAATAAATAAAGCTTTTTATTATGAGAGATTTTCAGCAGCCAAAACCTGCTAAATCAGTATCCAAAGGCTCAAGGCCATTTCTCTTAAAAGTCAAGTTCACAACCTTTTAAGGCTGACACAAATCTTTTCCTTAAGACATGAGTCACTGTCTTGTTGTCAGACCAGCTGACCTTGATCATTATCAGTTGATTCTTTTCATATTACCCAGAGTCATTATCCTGTACTTGCGTCCTTAATCTTGTTCAGGTGACCTTGAATCTCGTTCTAGTGACCTTGAATCTCGTTGTAGTGACCTTGAATCTCATTGTAGTGACCTTGAATCTTGTTCTGGAGACTTTGTGTCACTGCCGGGTGGCTGTGTGTTACTGGACTGTGACAGGTTGTAGAGCTGCTCTGCGTCCTCCAGGGCATCGTCGACCCCTTCACAACATAACTTCCAGTGTTCTGGTAATTGTTCCTCACCGTAACATGCCCCGGCGATGGCAGCTGCCATTGTTGCGATTGTATCAGTATCTCCACCCAGAGATATTGCATACATTACTGTCTTCTCAAATAGGTTTCTGTTCTGTAGATTATAAAATGATACTTCAGTCACATGACTTACACAATAGTTATATAACAGAAATAAATAAAAAATACAAGGCAAAAATTTAACATATGACTGCCTGAATTCCAGATTGTGCTTCCAATCGGATAACTGGTTACAAGAGATTTCTTCAGTTCAGGAAGCCCCACGTACTTACACTAATAACAGTGATGCCTCCCTTCCCAATATCTTACTTGTTACATCAATATACTCTCACAATACCACAATATCACAACAATGCTCTCCCTCAATCATATTGCTTACACTCTATACCCTTTAATACTACACTAACAACAGATAATGCCCCAACACACATATTTCTAAACTTGTAACTTGTATCAGCCCCCCTCCTCATTTCTACACTTGTATTATCGTCCCCTCCCCTCAATTCTACACTTAATTCTACCGTGCCCCCTCCCCCTCCCTCAATTCTACACTTGTAACATCAGTGCCCCTCCCCCCACCCCCTCAATTCTACACTTGTACTATCAGTGACCCCTCCCCCCAATCAATTATACACTTAAAACATCAGTGCCCCCCAGTTCTACACTTAAAACATCAGTGCCCTCCAGTTCTACACTTGTAACATCAGTGCCCCCCCCCCAATCAATTAAACACTTGTAACATGATTGCCCCCTCAATTCTACACTTATAACATCAGTGCCCCCCTCAGTTCTACATGTATAACATAAGCACTCCCCTCAGTTCTACATGTATAACATAAGCGTCCCCCTCAGTTCTACATGTATAACATAAGTGCCCCCCTCAGTTCTACATGTATAACATAA